CGAGGGTTGGAGAGACACTGACTTGCGTAGTGTCATTAGAGGCCGAGTCACAGGCACGCCGCTACTCCCTCCCCCACCCTCCCCTGCCCCTGAAGCCTACCCAACCTCCCCTACCCTTCCTCCAACCCCTTCTCTCCCCTACCCAACCCTCCTCATCCTCCACCCTTCTTCTCGCCTATTCCCTCCCTTCCCTTCCCTTAACTTCTTCATCGCCATCCTCCCCTCTCCTCTTCCCCCCCCTCCTCCCCCCTCCACTTCCTCCCCATCCTCCCCCCTCCACTTCCTCCCCATCCTCCCCCCTCCACTTCCTCCCCATCCTCCACCCTCCACTTCCTCCCCATCCTCCACCCTCCACTTCCTCCCCATCCTCCACCCTCCACTTCCTCCCCATCCTCCCCCCTCCACTTCCTCCCCATCCTCCCCACTTCCTCCCCATCCTCCCCCCTCCACTTCCTCCCCATCCTCCCTCCTCCACTTCCTCCCCATCCTCCCTCCTCCACTTCCTCCCCATCCTCCCTCCTCCACTTCCTCCCCATCCTCCCTCCTCCACTTCCTCCCCATCCTCCACCCTCCACTTCCTCCCCATCCTCCACCCTCCACTTCCTCCCCATCCTCCCTCCTCCACTTCCTCCCCATCCTCCCTCCTCCACTTCCTCCCCATCCTCCCTCCTCCACTTCCTCCCCATCCTCCCTCCTCCACTTCCTCCCCATCCTCCACCCTCCACTTCCTCCCCATCCTCCACCCTCCACTTCCTCCCCATCCTCCACCCTCCACTTCCTCCCCATCCTCCCCCCTCCACTTCCTCCCCATCCTCCCTCCTCCACTTCCTCCCCATCCTCCCTCCTCCACTTCCTCCCCATCCTCCCTCCTCCACTTCCTCCCCATCCTCCCTCCTCCACTTCCTCCCCATCCTCCCTCCTCCACTTCCTCCCCATCCTCCCCCCTCCACTTCCTCCCCATCCTCCACCCTCCACTTCCTCCCCATCCTCCACCCTCCACTTCCTCCCCATCCTCTACCCTCCACTTCCTCCCCATCCTCCACCCTCCACTTCCTCCCCATCCTCCCTCCTCCACTTCCTCCCCATCCTCCCCCCTCCACTTCCTCCCCATCCTCCACCCTCCACTTCCTCCCCATCCTCCACCCTCCACATCCTCCCCATCTTCCCTCCTCCACTTCCTCCCCATCCTCCCTCCTCCACTTCCTCCCCATCCTCCCTCCTCCACTTCCTCCCCATCCTCCACCCTCCACTTCCTCCCCATCCTCCCTCCTCCACTTCCTCCCCATCCTCCACCCTCCACTTCCTCCCCATCCTCCCTCCTCCACTTCCTCCCCATCCTCCCCCCTCCACTTCCTCCCCATCCTCCACCCTCCACTTCCTCCCCATCCTCCCTCCTCCACTTCCTCCCCATCCTCCCCCCTCCACTTCCTCCCCATCCTCCACCCTCCACTTCCTCCCCATCCTCCCTCCTCCACTTCCTCCCTATCCTCCACCCTCCACTTCCTCCCCATCCTCCACCCTCCACTTCCTCCCCATCCTCCACCCTCCACTTCCTCCCCATCCTCCACCCTCCACTTCCTCCCCCCTCCACTTCCTCCCCATCCTCCACCCTCCACTTCCTCCCCATCCTCCACCCTCCACTTCCTCCCCATCCTCCACCCTCCACTTACTCCCCATCCTCCACCCTCCACTTCCTCCCCATCCTCCACCCTCCACTTCCTCCCCCCTCCACTTCCTCCCCATCCTCCACCCTCCACTTCCTCCCCATCCTCTACCCTCCACTTCCTCCCCATCCTCCACCCTTCACTTACTCCCCATCCTCCACCCTCCACTTCCTCCCCATCCTCCACCCTCCACTTCCTCCCCATCCTCCACCCTCCACTTCCTCCCCCCTCCACTTCCTCCCCATCCTCCACCCTCCACTTCCTCCCCATCCTCTACCCTCCACTTCCTCCCCATCCTCCACCCTTCACTTACTCCCCATCCTCCACCCTCCACTTCCTCCCCATCCTCCACCCTCCACTTCCTCCCCATCCTCCACCCTCCACTTCCTCCCCATCCTCCCTCCTCCACTTCCTCCCCATCCTCCACCCTCCTCTTCCTCCCCATAATCCCCCCTCCACTTCCTCCCCATCCTCCCCATCCTCCTCCCTCCACTTCCTCCCCATCCTCCCCCCTCCACTTCCTCCCCATCCTCCACTTCCTCCCCCCTCCACTTCCTCCCCATCCTCCCCCCTCCACTTCCTCCCCATCCTCCCCCCTCCACTTCCTCCCCATCTTCCCCTCTCCACTTCCTCCCCATCCCCCACTCTCCACTTCCTCCCCATCTTCCACTTTCCACTTCCTCCCCATCTTCCACTCTCCACTTCCTCCCCATCTTCCACTCTCCACTTCCTCCCCATCTTCCACTCTCCACTTCCTCCCCATCTTCCACTCTCCACTTCCTCCCCATCCTCTAACTCACTTCCCCATACTCCCCATCTATCTAATACCTTATTACCCAACAGATAGATAGTATTTAAGATTTTCAAGACGTTTTGGGCATTTCACGCAATGGCACCGGACAAGGAGGATTCTGTTCCTTATAAGGTCGATTGTTTGGGTGAGAGTGATTTTCTTGATTGGGTGAGAGTAATTTTCTTGTTTGGGTGAGTGATTTTCTTGTTTGGGTGAGAATAATTTTCTTGTTTGGGTGAGAGTAATTTTCTTGTTTGTGTGAGTGATTTTCTTGTTTGGGTGAGAATAATTTTCTTGTTTGGGTGAGAGTAATTTTCTTGTTTGGGTGAGTGATTTTCTTGTTTGGGTGAGAATAATTTTCTTGTTTGGGTGAGAATAATTTTCTTGTTTGGGTGAGAATAATTTTCTTGTTTGGGTGAGAGTGATTTTCTTGTTTGGGTGAGAATAATTTTCTTGTTTGGGTGAGAATAATTTTCTTGTTTGGGTGAGAGTGATTTTCTTGTTTGGGTGATAATCATTTTCTTGTTTGGGTGAGAGTGATTTTCTTGTTTGGGTGAGAATAATTTTCTTGTTTGGGTGAGAGTAATTTTCTTGTTTGGGTGACAGTAATTTTCTTGTTTGGGTGAGAGTAATTTTCTTGTTTGGGTGAGAATAATTTTCTTGTTTGGGTGAGAATAATTTTCTTGTTTGGGTGAGATTAATTTTCTTGTTTGGGTGAGGATAATTTTCTTGTTTGGGTGAGAGTAATTTTCTTGTTTGGGTGACAGTAATTTTCTTGTTTGGGTGAGAGTAATTTTCTCGTTTGGGTGAGAATAATTTTCTCGTTCGGGTGAGAGTGATTTTCTTGTTTGGGTGAGAGTAATTTTCTTGTTTGGATGAGAGTAATTTTCTTGTTTGCGTGAGAGTAATTTTCTTGCTTTATGTGAGAGTAATTTTCTTGTTTGGGTGAGAGTAATTTTCTTGTTTGGGTGAGAGTAATTTTCTTGTTTGGGTGAGAATAATTTTCTTGTTTGGGTGAGAGTAATTTTCTTGCTTGAGTGAGAGTAAGTTTCTTGTTTGGGTGAGAGTAATTTTCTTGTTTGGGTGAGAGTAATTTTCTTGTTTGGGTGAGAGTAATTTTCTTGCTTGAGTGAGAGTAATTTTCTTGTTTGGGTGAGAGTGATTTTCTTGTTTGGGTGAGAATAATTTTCTTGTTTGGGTGAGTGATTTTCTTGTTTGGGTGAGAGTGATTTTCTTGTTTGGGTGAGAATAATTTTCTTGTTTGGGTGAGAATAATTTTCTTGTTTGGGTGAGAGTGATTTTCTTGTTTGCGTGAGATTAATTTTCTTGCTTGGAGATTATTTTTCTTGTTTGGGTGAGATTATTTCCTTTGTTTTAAATGAGGAATTTCTTGACTGGATTCCACTGATTATCCTTACATGAGACTGAATCCCTTGTTTGGATAAGAGGAATTCCTTACTTGAATACTTTTCTTGATTATATGAAAGGGATTTTCTTGTTTAGAAAAGACGAAGGAGTCTGTCAAAGTTAAGATAATTCTCTTGTACGCAAAAGAGGGATTGTTATTTATTCATTTATTCATTCTTTTGTATTTATAGAGGATGGGGGGGGGGGGGGGTATTTTCATGGGCAAACAAGGATGATTCTCTTGTGTAGATAAAGAGGATTCACTTGTTCAGATGAAAGGAATAACCTGTCCGGATGAGGAGGATCCTGTCGTCTGGAATGAAAAACATTGTGATGGCAAATACATTTCGAAAACACGTTGAGTGCAAGATGACTTGATGAAGGAAAGAACGCGTTGTGATGAACTGGTAAAGGCAAGAAAATATTGCAATGAATTGATAAAGAAACGAGGATTCTTTAAATAGCTGACAAAGAAAAAAGAAAATACGATAAACTGACAAAGAAAAGACCTGATAAATGTTAATAATAGCAGTACCTTAGGGTGCCTACAAGACGCGTTCGATAAGAAAGTCTACGGATTAAACACACCGGTTTACAATTACTGCGCCCTCAAACTATCATGTAAGCAGATCTATGTAAGTATTTCACATCATTTCAATGTATTAGAAGATATACTTATGTTGTATCCTAAACTTCGAATGATGTATCAGAATATAACCATATAATCAAATATAACGATGCCTTTCCAAGTTGTATGGCGGAGTGGTAGATAGGTAGATAAAGTTTTTCTTTCTCTGTCACTTACGTAATAGAGATCATAATACTGTTATAACCTACATTTTCAGCATAATGCTATTATTTAATCTTATGACCATGCATCTTATGTATCAAAGCTTGCCCACGCCTGTACAGATATCCAGGGTGGTAAATAAGTGACGAAACTAAAAAAAAAAAAAAAAAATGCGTGTTTATCCTAGAAACACCTCGCCCTTCGCTTGTTCAACGCCATCTACAGAGCACCGATGTAACTACAGCGGACGAGGAAAAAAGTTCAAGGAAACTAATGAACAAATTAATAGGCATACATGATCATGTTCTAAAGTGATAAATAAACATGATTATGGGCGTTAATAGCA